ATGGGGAACACAGCAGGCGAAATACAAACCATCTCCGGCACATGCCTCAGTGGCCTGACAGGCCCAGCCCGGTCGCCTCTACAACAACGGGACCATGACAAGTAAGCTGTTCCTGAAAGACCTGAGCATGGAGAACTTGAGGGGACATCCCAGAAGAAGCCGATATGGTGCTTACGCCGGCGATTCTACAACAGAGCTACCAACAACGACGCAACGGATTGTGAAGCAGCGGCACCAGAACCATCCACCCACAACCCATCTACAACCACCACCGGCCCCGAGGTAACGCTGACGAGGCAACCACAACCGGCAAAAATTTGCCACACGTTGCCAAACCGACCCAACACTGGGAGCCCCGCTGGCCCGGCGCATCGGCCCACCCGGGACAACTAAGGAACGCCGACTCCACCAAAAAGAAAAAGAGCTGACCACGACCTCTGCCCACGGCGCCAACATACCCAACCGTGGACCCGAGGTATCGTCAGTAAGCGCCGAGCACACAACGAACAGAAGACACCACCACCCCAACCTGATACAACATGAACTCGACAACCATAATTTTTATATCCGACGACGAGTCTTGCGACTCCACACCAGGAGCAAAGACCTGGAGCGACGCCGAAACAGCGTCCGCTCAGGACACTGGAATATCCGACAGCGAGTCTTGCGACTCCACACCAGGAGCAAAGACCTGGAGCGACGCCGAAACAGCGTCCGCTCAGGATACGGATCAAGAGGAAGACGCAACGCCACGCCCATCACGCTTCACGCGGGCCAACCTATGGTCACCACCACCACGGACACCGTCGCCACCAACACCCTCATACTCACCACAGCCGTGGGGTCCCTTCGGAGAAGCGCCCCCCACCAGCGAGGACGAAGACTCCACCCCGTCAAGCCAACCATCGACCCACTATCGGCGGGATCCCCGACACAACCGCGGGGTCTATCAGGACGTTAACTCTGAAGAGGAACCCTCCCCAGAAGAGGGGGAGGAATCACCCTCAGAGAAGGAGGAGGAAGCCTCGGCAGAAGGAGAAACCGTCTTCAGCCACCAACTGGTCATGGACACCCAGACCACCAGCTACGTCCATACCCCATGGGGGGTCCGGACTACGGTGACCCACACGCGGGTCGTCGATAGCCGAAGGACGGTCAACAGGGAGGCAGCCGACGACGGAAACCTCACCTCTAAGCGCCCCCGTCGCCACTAACACCCACCCGGAAGAAAGGGGGGGGTGTAACGAACCATGGTTCTACCCATGGTTCGTTGCAAACAACACCACGGTAGGCAGCAAACTAAGATAAGCAGAACAGAAGAACCATGGCTCTAGCCACGGTTCTTCACTAATATTGTGGGTCAGCACCCAGGAAATAAAAGTACTCTATGCAAACCATAAAAAATTAAGAACTCTCGATCCGCGAAAACCACAGCACAAAATTCTCGGTCACCCACTTCTTGGCAATATTTCGCAACCACTCGGCCTCGAGTGGGTCAGCCCCAGGAAAAAAAAAACTTCTATGCAACGCTCACCATAAAATTGCCGATCAGCAAACCACAGCAAAAAATTCTCGGTCCCCCACTTCTTGGCGATATTTCGAACCACTCGGCCTCGAAACAAGACCCAAATTCAGATATCACCTTCGCGATGCTGAGGTAGCAAAAACCCAATTCTCAACTGCAGCCCGCACCTACTGCGATGCAGCCTCAGCTAAAAACACTCTCATCAAAACACACTGACCCCCTAAGCAATTGTCAACGAAGCACCAAGCTTCGACCTAGTTACCACACCCTACAATTATTATTACCCAATAACCTTAAGTCAGCAAGAATTAATTATTTTCGGGTCTCAGGTGCGATCGCCAGCTGCATAAAAGGGCCAAGATCGGCCGAAAGAGGAGGCAGTCCATCAGCCCGAATACAAGATACAGGCGGTCCATCAGCCCATGCACGGGACACTGCACAAGGCGGTCCCTCAGTCACACACCCAAGACACTGTACTGCGCGGTCCCTCAGTCACACACCCAAGACACTGTACTACGCAGTCCCTCAGCCACAAACACAGGACGCTGCACTAGGCGGTCCCTCAGCCCAAACCCAAGACACTGCACAACGCAGTCCACCAGCGCACCATTCAACCACGAGTTGAAGCAGCAGAATTTAAGTGAATGAGGTTGCTTCCAAAGGCTTTACAACAAAATATTAACCTTTGAATACAACTAAAGTAACCTACTTTAATGAAAAATTTGGAAAGCTTCTTTTAAAGTTGTATTTTTTTTAATTTTTGGAAATCAGTGCTATTTTTGTTGCCGCCTAAATTCCTGAATAATTCCTTTTCTTTTTGATAATTTTCGTTTGAAGTCTGCAATACAAACTATTGCTTTAGGAAACATTAGATTACATCCTAAAGTATATATATTAGTTCTTAAACCATTCATTAATACCACTGTTTAAACAAAATCCTTCAATACAGAAAATTGAGTGTCATGGTGATATTATTTATGCCACAGCTGTATATCTCTTCAATAAACATACATTTAAACTCAACCTTTCACATATATATATATATATATATATATTAGGCTGGGACAAAATTTGACCAAAAAATTTTTGTTTTTTCAAGGGGACACCCCCGATTTCTGTTCGTTGTTATTCAATAAAAATATACAATTTTTTTCAAATTTTTAGTTTAATGTTTGGGGGTTGCTACCACGAAAAGAAAATACAGTTTTTTGGTTAAATATACATTAAAAAAAATTTAATTCTTCGGTTTTTTCAAATAATATTGAAACTTAGAAACAATTTCATATTGATAATACGGTATTTTTATTTTTTTTTAGTTTCTGTTAATAAATTAACGATTGGTGAAAATCAAGAAGTTCAGCTGAGGTTGATATATGTAGTTAGCTTTTTCGCAAAAACTTGAGAAGGTTTTTTACCGTCAATAACTGATTAATGAAAATATGAGTGGTATAAATATATATGCAATAGGTTTCAACAATTATCCAACTCAATCAGCAAAAATATTTTGTTTGCATTTTCTTGATTAAAATATTTTGTAAAATTCGGTAGCAATCTCTAAAAAACAAAAAAAAACATGTAAATTACCATTAAGTCCAGGGTAAGAAAACTAGGGTGTGTCCCGTTTGAATTTCGAAAAAAACAAATTTTTGGCCCAGCCTAATATACTAAATATATATATATAAATTCTTGATCAGCATCAATAGCCGAGTCTATGTCCGTCCGTCTGTCCGTCTTGTTTGTCGCCTAGATCTCAGAGACTATAAAAGCTAGAGCAACCAAATCTTGTTTCCAGACTCATGTGATATCACACTGCTACAAATGTATGTCAAAATTTCGACCCACAAAGGACGAAAATATGTGTGGTGACGAATAAAACCCTTCGATGTTCATAGAACACAAATGCTTTATTTCCAAAGTGGACTGTATCAAAAATTCTTCTTCTTTTACGCAGCAAACATGTCCATCATGTTCTGCTTTTGTCTTAACACTTTTTACTTAACACTAAAAAATCTCAAAAGTGCGACGCAGCGCGACCAGAAAAAATACCAAACCAATGAGGGAAAATTAAGTGTTCAAAAATAGAAAACGAAATTTAAGAAATTCTTTAACGGCTGCAATGCGTTCATCAACATCCCGGGCCGCCCTGAAACATAGTTTCTGAATTAGGTAGTACTGCTAGCTTGGTGATGGGTCGGGTCATTTCTCCGGTAGATGTCTTAAGCTTTACGGCGCGAACAAGTCCATCTGGTCCAGGATGAGCTTCCAATACACGGGCTAGAATCCAAGCTGCTGGTGGGAGATTGGAGTCCTTGACAAGTACCACATTGTCAACTGAGATGTTGCGTTGCTTGTTGTTCCACTTGTGACGTTGCTGCAAGGATGTTAAATATTCTTGATGCCAGCGCTTCCAAAATCCTTGGTACATTGCTTGCAAGTGCTGCCAATAGTCCAAGCGATTGATTGGCAAATGAGATAGATCGCCTTCCGGGATTGTTGTGAATGGGCGACCAATTAGAAAATGGGCTGGCGACAAGTATGTTAGGTCTGTGTCTGGTGTATAGCATAACTGTCGAGAGTTCACAACCGCACTAATCTGAACAATTAGAGTTTGCATTTGTTCGAAGGTTAACGTCGTCTTTCCTACAACGCGACGAAGGTGCAGTTTGACGGAACGCACGGATGACTCCCACTTCCCTCCCCAGTGTGGCGAATGAGGCGGTATGAAACTCCATTTGATTCCATCGTTGGCCAGCGATTGGGCTACGGTGTGTTGATGCTCCTGCGAAGATAGAAGTTGCTGCATCTCATCTAGTGCCCGTTTAGCACCAACAAAATTTGTTCCGTTATCGCTGAAGATCTGGGAGCATTTTCCTCTGAGGGACATAAATCGACGAAGACAGGCCAGGAAGGTGTCGGTGCTCAGGTCGGCGGCCAATTCCAGGTGTATGGCTGATGTTACAAGGCACACAAACAAACATATGTAGCCCTTAGTTTTTCGAGGATTGCGTCCTCTCCTTTCCTTTAGTATAAATGGTCCAGCGTAGTCACAGCCTGAATGCTGGAAGGGCAGAGCTTCGGTGATACGAATGCCTGGTAAATCGGCCATGAATTGGTGCTCTGTGTGATTACGTTGGCGAAAACATCTTATGCAGTTGTGGACCAGATTTCTTATAAGATTACGCGCACCAAAAATCCAATATTTTTGACGCATAATAACAAAGAGAGCAGAGACGCCTGGGTGAAGGTTTGATGCATGTTCATGTTCCAAAATCAGTATTGTGATGCGGTGCGATTTCGGAAGCAGTATAGGGTGTTTGACATCAGCTGGTAATTGAGAATTGCTCAGCCGTCCACCAACTCGTAGGAGGCCATTCTTGCATACAATCGGTGAGAGCTTGAGCAGCTGAGAGCGGCTCCGAAGTGGCTTGTTCTCCAGCAGCAGAATTCGATCCTCTTTGAAACATTCCTGAGCCGTTTATAGGCAAAGAATGCGAGCCGCCTGGATCTCCTCGAATTTCAGCATTTTGCTACTTGCCAACATGCCTGATTTAGGGGCCCTGGTCCCTTGGATGAAGCGCAAGACGTAGGCTACAATGCGAACCAGTTTTGTCCAGGACGAGACGCGTGGCACCAGTGCTTCGAGCGGTGAAAATGAGTCGTCTTCCTGAGTTGTCAATGCGGTGGTCTTCACTTCTTCGTTGCCATAGTTTTCCGAAAGGGAAGAACAGAATTTTGTAGAGCTCAGCTTTACCGCGAGTTTTTCTGGATCTTGCAGCCATGAAGGTCCCATCCACCACAGGTCGAAATTGAGCAGTTCTGCAGCGAGCATGCCTCGGCTGGCGCAGTCAGCAGGATTTTCCTTTGTATTTACATGATGCCATGCATTGCGTGGTATAGCATCGAGTATTTCTGACGTTCTGTTTGCAACAAATGTTTTAAGCTTCGATGGCTGCTGTGAAAGCCAAGCCAGAACTATAGTTGAGTCGCACCATGCATGTATGTCAATGTTCTTATGCTGTAGAGCAGCCTTGATAGATACGATCAGTCGGCTCAACAACAGAGCGCCACACAGTTCGAGGCGCGGTAGTGACTGCTGCTTCAGCGGAGCAACTCTGGTTTTTCCTGCGATGAGTGAAACAGATACGGTGCCATTTGCCTGTACCAATCTGCTGTAGACGACTGCGGCGTATGCCTTAATGGAAGCATCTGAAAATCCATGCAGTTCGATGCGATCCTCCTTGTTGTCAACAAATCGTGGAAGACGAAGTTCCTGGAGTACATTTAGGTCGTTACGGCATTTCTTCCACCAATCCGCAATTTTCGGAGGAAGTTCCGTATCCCAGTCGAGATCGAGTAACCACAATTCCTGAAACATAATTTTAAATTGCACCACCACAGGCGACAGAATACCCAGTGGATATAAGATGCGTGCCACGTCCGACAGCACTTGTCGTTTGTTGCTGTCCGGATTCGATGAAAGGCAAACGTTGTACGATAAATTATCTTTTTCTGGATCCCAGTGAATGCCAAGAACTTTTGCTGTAGAATGGAGTCCCTTGCCTGGAGTATTGGTTGAAGTAAGAGTTCCGACAAAAATGCGTGATGAATTGGAGACCCATTTGCCAAGCTCCATGCCTGCACGTTCCATTAGCTGAATCAATTCATCTCGCTTGCAAATAAGCTCTTCCTCTGTGTATGCTCCCGTGAGTACGTCGTCCATGTAAAACTCCTCCTTTAAGATTTTAGCTGCAGTGGGAAACTCGTGTTGATGGTCGTGAGCAAGCTGATCCAGGACCCTCACTGCCAAGAATGGTGCGCTAGACGTGCCGTATGTTACTGTGGAGAGCTCATAGTGCTTGATAGGCGTGCTTTCATCTTCTCGCCATACAATGCGCTGGTAACTGCAATGATTGACAGCCACCCAGATTTGTCGATACGTTTTGACTATATCTGCAGAAAAGACGAACTTAAACATTCTGAAACGTATACAAATTGAGAATAAGTTCCGCAAAATACTGGGTCCAATGTGCAGGGCGTCGTTCAAGGCCTTTCCGCTAGTATCCTTAAACGATCCGTCAAAAACCACCCTTAATTTTTGTGTAATTACGGGATGATGTGGCAAGTAAAAGCATGGCTTCTTGTCAATGTCTTCTGGCGATAGTTCTCGCATGTGACCCAAATTAAGATAATCACGCATAAACTGTACATACTGTGCGTGCAGATCGGGATCTCGCTCCAAGCGACGTTCAACACCCCTGAATCTTGCGAGTGCTCCGTGTAGTGTATCCGAAAACTGTTGATTAGGATCTTTGAACGGAAGCTCGACGATGTAACGCCCCTTGGAGTCCCGAGTGTGTGTCTTCATAAAGTGTTGCTCAACTTCATCGTCCTCTGGTTCCCGCTGAAATTCCTGGTTGACATCCTCCAGCTCCCAAAAGCGTCGAAGCGATGCGTCAATGTCAATAGCCGTGTGCATTGTCGTTGTAGATGATGAGTTGCTGGTCGTAATAGAAGTTATGACCCATCCAAAAATTGTCGAAATGGCAATGACGTTCCCGTGGTTGTCGAACATCTTTTGGCCGGTGAACACGGTCCACACATAATCGCTGCCCAAAAGAATATCCACTGGCGCTAACGATTGATATTCAGAATCTGCGAGATCGAAGCCATCGAAAGCCCTTAGTGCTGCAGCGTCAATATCGTGTCTTGCCAATGTAGAAGTGATTTTGCTGAGTACGTGAGCGCGTACCTTCATGGTGTGCTCTGAGATCCTTGACTGCATGTCCAGTGTGCTGCAGCCTCTAGTTGTCTCAGCCTTTATAGATGAAATTCCCGAGACCAGAATACGTGACGGAAAACGTGACAGGCCAAGTGCCTGTATGCACCGTTCCGAGATGTATGACAGTTCCGAGCCACTGTCCAAAAGCACCCGACAGATAGTGTGCGATCCCTTTGCGCTTCGAACGAACACTAGAGCTGTTGGCAATGCGCTTTCCCGAAGCACGTGTGGCTTTGTAGCAGTTGCTGATCCGTTGTATGAGGGTTCAGCTCTTGGAGTAACTTGCGCACGTGCGATGTGGCTGATGGCCACTGTTGCCTCTTCGGGAGTGCTGAGGATGCGCTGCTCGTCACTTCTTGGCTGTGCCCTGGTTGCAGCAGCCTGCGAAGTAGAATTTTCTATATGTAGTAGAGAATGGTGACGAGTATGGCAAAACTTGCATGTGAATTTTGATTCACACTTTCGTGACACATGCCCAAGCTTGAGACAGTTAAAGCACAATGACTTAGCTTTAACGAATGTTCGTCTCTGCTCGACTGATAAGTCACCAAACTGCGGACAAATGTAGATCTTGTGTTCCTTGGAGTTACATTTTACACAAGCACCTTCTTCCAGCGATACCATAGCGTGTGACGATCGCTTGGCTTTGTTTTGTTGTGCACCAACCTTGAAGTCTGTGTCAGTCTCACTTTTGCTTAGCTCAAATTCCTCGCAGCGCCGGTCTAAGAACTTGAGTAAGTCGTTTACAGTTGGCGATTCCAGCTCGCGACTTCCTTCAATCCATTTGCGTCGGGTTTCAGCGTCAATTTTGGCCAGAATGAAATGTATAATCCAGCAGTCCCTATTAGTTTGCCCTGCTGCATCCAAGCCGCGTACAATCTCCGTTGCTCCATCTGTCACCTTACGTAGAATTGAAACGTCTGCTCTGGATGTCGAAGGTAAATTCACAAATGTGTCCAGCAAAGTATTTACAATGTGACGTGGTCGGTTGTAACGCTCCGTTAGGCAAGTCCAAGCAGCAGTATAAGCTGCTTCTGTTATTGGCATATGTCGTATCAAATCAGCTGCTTCTCCAATAACATATGTTTTCAAGTAGTGCAATTTTTGAATGGCTGTCAAATGCTGATTGCTGTGAATCGTACTTTCGAAGAGGTTCATGAAAGCAGGCCATTCCTTGTAGTCACCATTGAACTGCTTGATGTGTATTTTTGGCAATTCGCTTTGCACCCTATTTGCTGTCGAATTTGCGCTCAAAAACGTGGTTTGTTGTTGCGCCAATCGCTCGTTCAGCTCTTGTTGTTGTTGTAAAAAACGAACAAAGTTTTCGTTTCCTGATCCCGATGCTTGTGATCCCCATGGGCTCTCACTGTCGTTATGGTTGCCGCTGGCGATGTTTCCTCCCTCGTTTTCCCTTAGCATACAAGCGCGTTTAAGCGAGTGTAGTAATGTGTTTGCACGCAAGTACTTGTCTTCGTAGGTCTCGTTGTCGATGGCTGGATCAACATACCCCTCCTCCTCATCGTAAAGGGCCATTTTGTCGCTAAGAGTCTCAAACTCCTTCCAAACGGTATTGAGCCTCTCCAATAACACGGTTATTTGCTCCAATTCCAAGTTTGATCCCGCACGTGGATCTTGTGACGCCGTTAGCAAACGCGTGATGCTTGCCTTCGCACGGCTTCTTGCTGATTTCACAAGCTTGAAGTCTTCCATTTTTAAACAATAAGCTTATCCCGGTTGAAGGACCAACAATATGGTGACGAATAAAACCCTTCGATGTTCATGGAACACAAATGCTTTATTTCCAAAGTGGACTGTATCAAAAATTCTTCTTCTTTTACGCAGCGAACATGTCCATCATGTTCTGCTTTTGTCTTAACACTTTTTACTTAACACTAAAAAATCTCAAAAGTGCGACGCAGCGCGACCAGAAAAAATACCAAACCAATGAGGGAAAATTAAGTGTTCAAAAATAGAAAACGAAATTTAAGAAATTCTTTAACGGCTGCAATGCGTTCATCAACAATGTGGCACCCACAATTTTAAAGATACGATAAAACTATAAACGTAGTATCGTAGACAATGACAATATATACCAGATTGCTGAATCTGAATCAGATCGGATGAATATTATAGCCAGAATAAAGAAATTAATTTTCAGTTGCTTGCCCCACCTCCTCCAGCACGAGAACTGGCTACTCATTCTCTTTCTCGCTCGCCCCACTCTGACCAGTGCTATCAGCGACCTTTGAAGAGAAGATGTAGAATCTAAATGGAACATGTAAAATCTACATGTTAGATGTAGAATAGACATTGTATATGTAGATGTAGATAGCAGATGTAGCAAAAAAATGTAAAATGTAAAATTTTTTTTTTTTTCTAAAATTCTAGAAAATCATAAGCTCAAAAATGTATATACTGACTGAGTACGGGTATAAGTAGAGTCGTGTCCCCAGAAACGTCCTTCTCGTTTTTTTTAATTTTTTAGAGGTTGCTACCGAATTTTACAAAAAAATTTAGTCAATAAAATTAACAAAAAAATTTGTTGCTGAATGAACTGGATAATTGGTGAAATCTATTGCATATATATTGATACCATTCATATCGTCATTAATCAGTAATTGGCAGTAAGAAACCTGCACAAGTTTTTGCGAACTAGTTAACTAAATATATTAACCTCCTCAGGGAGTGTCATGCAACCCAAAACTCTGTAATGTAAGCGAACGTCGCTGACCAATCCGTTATCAGCTCGTTCCCACACTCCATCATATGACCAATCCAAAATCGTTCCCACACTCCAATAGAAGGGAGAACTCATGTAAACAAGTGAGTTCTCAAGATGAAAGCCGACACCAATCGCCAACTGCGGCCGCCTCTTTCATCCAAGCCGACGCATCTCCCAAGCCTCCCACACATAGGCCAACGCATCGCTTATCAGCCGCTCTCACCAAAACAACGACTCTCGCAACCAAAGCTTCGACTCTCTCAGCCGAAAATATCACTGCTCAAATACGAGACGAAATATGAACCGAAGCCGAAAGCTTAAGGATATAAGCTTTAAGCTTCCCAACAGAGGTCTCGAGATCAATAGCTCGAGCATAAGAAGACAAGTGCCGTTTAAGACTTTCTATCATTGAATACACTATCATATTCAATTTTCTTATATAAGTTCGGTTAAATAAAAAAATACTTTTTAAAAACCTACTTTTTAACCCTGGAATTCTTATTGGCGCAGCCGGTAGGATTCACAACACTAATTTTATTGTTCCGGTACTGATCTATTAGAAGCAATCTAAACGACTATATTGCTGCAGATCAGCGAAGATACTTAGCCCAAGTAAATTCGCCAAAGAACCTAGGTGCAACGTAGCACTAGGCAAAATCTTAAACGTTAAGCAAAACCAAACTGTGTAACCAAAAATGCAACGATTTGAAAAAATCACCAAATTAACGATTGAATTTAAACCATCAATAAATCAAAATGGCATTGCCACCAGTATCCCTAAGTGAAATGCACTTAAACCAAGCACTACTGTCATTTCGACAAGTGCCGGCATATGACGGATCAGCTGGAAATCTGAGTTCCTTCATCAAACGCATCGAATACATCCAAGAACTGTACCCGACGCAAGAAGCTAGACAGACGCGAGTAATATTTGGAGCCATTGAAGTGCAACTAACTGAAGACGCACAGCGATTATCACAAATGGATTAACCTGGCTGGAGTTGAAAAAAGCTTTAATCGACGAATTCGAAAACCACACACCATCTGAGAAACTTTTGAGATAGATCTACGGGAGTCTTCGAAAGTTTATAGAAAATTTGGAAACAAAAACACTACTAGTTACTAATAAGTTAGCATTAGAAAACAATGCTGCCAACACATTGATTTATCAAAATGCATTAGATAATACTGTTAAAGACGTTATTTCTCGTAAACACCCAGATAGGACCTTTAATACTCTGGTTCAAAAAGATGTAACGAACCATGGTTCCCCATGGTTTCCCCTTCAGGAAAACAAACGCGAAAGTATACGCAGTGCCGATCCTAAAAGTGCCGTTTAACAGTGACTCATTGCCAAAAATCAACAGAAATCAACATGGAACATCACGACGATGAACAACCAGAGGAGGCATACCCTGCGGGACACTTTTCCAATCCAGGGGTCAGCACCGGCTGGATCCACAAACTCCGTCGGGACGAACTAGAAGTCCTCGCCGAAGAATTCGGATTCGGCAGCGAAGGAACGGTCGATGAACGCCGAAAGAAATTTGCCGCTCTATTCGCCGGGCCACTCGCGCAAGAAGCCTGGGTCCGCCTAGGAGAGTTCGAGAGGCACTATGCCAAGCCAGCCTCACGCTCTCGTTCCAAGTCACCACTGCCCACTACTCCTGGACCATCCGACACTCGCCAAATGGATCCTAAGACCGGACTACGAGTCCCCGCAGCCACCGAATACCGCACTCCTGCTGCCCCGTTTCCAAGGCCCCTAGCTTCTAACTTCTCACAGACCGTGCCAGTCGTTGGTTCCGCACCAGCCGCCTACAAAGTTCCTCATGGGAAAATTTCCGCCAGGAATTCTTAACGTTCTTCTTGCCACAACGGTATTTTGAACAATTGGAAGACCGGATCCGAGCCCGCAAGCAAGTGGCTGGGGAACTGTTCAAAGATTTCCTCATCGAGATACGTCTACTTATGCACCACGCTGGGTACGACGCAACCAAGGAGCTAACCAGGATCTACGACAACGCCGTCCCAGCCTACCAGATGTACGTGCGCCGCCACGAACTGCAGGACTTGTCACACCTAACACTGCTGGCCACGGAGTTTGAGAGTATTCAAGAGCGGACCATCCCGAGCACTCTCGCACCACCACGACACACGCCCAGATACGCACGGCCGGCTACAGATCAGAGGAGCGGCGACTCCAATCGGTCACCATTCCGGAAGCCTCATTGGGACTCGGCAGACTCACCAAGAAGACAGCCATCCAACCCAGTGAGTACGGCAAAGCCTGAGGTAGCACATCGCATGATCACGACCCCCATCGCCAACCCACGCGCAGCCTGTCGCCGGTGTGGTGAAGCAGGGCATTCGGCATACGAATGCCAAAATCCTTCGATCCTATTCTGCTGGGAATGTGGCAAGCGCGGCACCCGGGCCCTCGATTGCTGTCGCCAGAACACGTCGGGAAACGACTCGTGTCCTCGACTGACACGGGATCAGCCGGGAACAACGTCTGCCCCGATCCACGAATAAAAACCCCGATACACATGAACGAGAACCGGATAGTGGCAATGGTAACCATAGGAGGACAGGAAACGGAAGCCACCGTCGACACAGGGGCATCCCGAAGCTTTATCAGTGCAAACCTCGCCCGACAACTAGACAACAACACCAACCTGCAAGATGCATGCGTCCGCATACGCCTGGCCGATGGCTCGGTCAGAGAGATCACCCAGATTCTACTGGCGCACATCAGGCTGGATCAAAGAGAAGTTCAAGTACCCCTCCTTGTTCTACCAAACATGTTGGCTCAAGTTATCGTCGTAATGGACTTCCTATGCGCCATTGAAACAACGATCCAGTGCGGTACCACACTTCTACGATTACGAGATCAGTGCCCCACACCACATATCCACACCGTTCCGACCACCAGAGTACAAGGCGACGAACCTCGACACCGGAAACCGAAGCTAACGGCAGCCGTCATACGTCCGCAACCTATCCCAACGATTTCGGCACCCAGCCACGCCAACATGACACCCATACAAACCTCAGCGAACACACGACCACGACCTACCCTAATGAACAAAACGACCCAGATCGCCACGAAGAACACGACACCCAGCCCAGCCCCAGCAGAGGCAAAGCGCCGGCCCACGAACATGAAGCCGAAGCCAACAACACGAAACAACAATCAAGCAACCGGGAAAACGAGTCCCACGGCCCTGGTACCGAAGATTCGTACCAAACTTCGCGACGGTCGTCCAACCGATGTCTCGCCTACTCAAGAAGGACCAACCATGGGTATGGTCCGAAGCACAACAGGCTGCTTTTGACCTACTGAAGACACTTCTCACGACCGCCCCCGTCCTTGCGTGCCCCGATTTCAACGTCAAGTTCTCGCTGCAAACAGATGCGAGCAATCTAGGAGTTGGCGCAGTTCTCACCCAAGAAATCGAAGGCAAAGAACGAGTCATAGCATATGTCAGCCGACGACTGAACCAGGCGGAAGAAAACTACTCCGCTACCGACAAAGAGTGCCTGGCGGTCATTTGGGCCATTCGCAAACTACGCTGCTACCTGGAAGGGTACCGATTCGATGTAATCACCGATCATCTCGCGCTAAAATGGCTAAATACGCTTGAAAGCCCATATGGTAGAGTGGCGAGATGGGCCCTCGAACTTCAGCAATACCAATATGACGTGCATTATCGAGCGGGCAAACAGAACGTAGTTGCAGATGCACTATCCAGGCAGCCATTAGGAATACTCGCACGGATCGAAGAGGAGAAGACAGCCTGCCCCTGGCTCCAGCACCGGATAAAAGAAGTCCAGGACGAGCCTCAGAAATACACCGACTACACCTATGCTAACGGGGAACTATATCGACATCTGGGCCATGGCGCCGACGACGACGACCATATAGCATGGAAACTCTGCGTAGAAAAAGATCAACGAGCCAGAATACTTCACGAATGCCACGACCAACCCATAGCCGACCACCTAGGGGTCAGGAAAACCATCACCCGAATATCCCAGGTTTCTACCGAGACGTGAGGAAATATGTCCGTGGCTGCGTAAGCTGCCAGAAGTTCAAAGCTCAACAACGCAAGCCGGTGGGCCAGATGCTCACTCGCAAAGCCGAAGAGCCATTCGCTACACTATGCGCTGACTTCGTTGGACCACTACCTCGATCAAAGAAAGGAAACACGATGCTGCTCGTCTTCTTTGACACTTTCACGAAATGGGTCGAATTGGTACCACTCAAAAAGGCCACCACCGCTACCCTGGAACTGGCTTTCCGAGAACGAATCCTGAGCCATTTCGGCATACCCAAACGCATGGTTCCCCATGGTTCGTCACAACACAGGAACACCTGTCTTTAAATATCTCTACATGTATAACCGCATAAATAAACGCTAAGTAAAACCTCTTTAAATATGTCTACATGTATAACCGTATAAATAAACGCTAAGTAAAACCTCAAATTTCCCAAAGTTGCATTCCTTTCCCACGGTACCGGTGCATATCGATCACCTTACCTGGGACATTGGACACTTGTTGGGAGGCGATTGCTTCGGTAACCCTCGATTACCGGGCAAACCCCTCACATGCGCGAGCCAATCAGCAGTCCCCGACTTTCCTTACCGGGAATATTGGACACTGACTGCAGGGCTAATGATTAGGTAACCTTCTGTTACCGATCAGCCCGTCTGCACGCGCAGACTATAATTCGGCAATATATATTTATGTAAGAACCCTTCCCACATTCTGGAGTAGAAATAAGATATCTGTAAGACATTCATGGGAAAATGGAAGGCCGCCCGATCTATAAAAGGCACTACCTTGCATGAAGAAAAGAGGCAGTCCACCAGCCATCGTCGGAGGCAGCCCACCAGCCATCGTAGGCAGGAGAGTCCACCAGCCGTAGCAGTCAGGCAAATAACAAACACGGAAGTCAAACATCCATACGCGTCGTAGAACAATTAAACATAACATAGCCGGGTAGAATAATAATACGGAAGAATAAAGAGACCCATTAAAATTAAAAGAACCAAAAAGTGTTGTGATTTCTATTTCAATTGCTGGCAAAGTCCCCGTTTTTCCCAATAAAGTCCTCGTGAATTATAAATAACTTGTAATTCAGGACCCTGGACAGACTGATGCATACCTCAGCCTGAGATAGGACATTACAAAGATATAACAACCCTGTCAAAACTTAAAAAAGCCGCTCAAGAAGAAGGCTTGTACGAAGCCAAGATACAAGAAAATAATGCTAACGAGAAGGAACGTGTGAGTCGCTACTGGGGACACGACTCTACTTATACCCGTACTCAGTCAGTATATACATTTTTGAGCTTATAATTTTTTAGAATTTTAAAAAAAAAAAATAAAAAATTGAATGTTTCCTTCTCTGCGTTACACACATCCACTTTTACAACAAATCTAATATACCCCTTAACTCTTTTTTGAGTACTGGTATAAAAAGGAGCAGCATAAACAGAAACAGTCCACTCACAAGAATACTGGGAACTATTACCAAAACTTCAATAGCAATACAACCCATACACAACAAACTCAGAATCCATATGCTTCAGGTACATCTCGGCACAACTTTAATAACACTACTCAACAAAATTGAACTTTTTATTTATGCTGTGAACCAAAATGACTTTTTTTAATAGATTTCGGTATTTACAAATTTTTGTAGTACTTTTTTTTATGGTGTAATTTTTTTTAAAAGAATTTTTAAAATCCCAAGTGAGCAGAAGTTCTAAATGTATAATTTCTCTGATAACTATGATATTTGTCTAGACGTTGATATGCAATGACTGCACCATCAAGTGGCCCATGCGACACCAAGCCGAAGCCTGTTACGCGCGGAACCCAGGCAGAAACGCAGCCCTCCTCCCGCCCAACCGACCGAGGGGCGCTGCCGCATGACGCGTGTTACCGAACTGATCGCGAGCATGCAGGAAAGATAGGTGTTAGACTAAAATTACACTACTCGACCAAGATCAGATCTTGGGTCTTATCGACCCAAATTCAGCTATCACCTTCCGCGATGCGGAGATAACAAAAACCAATCCTAAACCCAATCCCAAACTGCCGTCGCAGCAAAACACTTCCTCAACACCACTGACCCACTAGCCAATTGTCAACGAAGCACCAATCTTCGACCCACTTACCACGCCCAACAATTATTGTCACCCAATAATCATAAGTTGGCAATAAGAAATTATTTCAGGGTCAAACACAGGTGCGATCGTTACCTGCTTAAAAAGCCCAAGCTCGGACAAAGAAGCAGGCAGTACATCAGCCCGAACACAAGACACTGCACTAGGCAGTCCATCAGCCCGAACACAAGACACTGCACTAGGCACTAGGCAAGACACTTCACTAGGCAGTCACAAACGCAAGACACTACACTAGGCAGTTCACCAGCCCACAGCGCAACTAGCAACCAGCAGGTCACGAATTGTAAACAATTAAAACTAATTAAGGCATTAATAATAACCAAAACAACAAGAAATCGCGTCATCAATTTTCCAACCTTGCCTACTGCTCTTTTGGTCACTTCCAGTCCAGCCCCGAAACCTTAACTTCCAACAGATCTACAAATTTCTTTTAGAGGACCCTGGACAGGCTGATGCATATCCCAGCCTGAAATAGGTATCTAACATACCTTAAACGACACAGGAGCCAGGAAAAAAATCTATTTCGACTTTTCATGAGTTTTTAAAATCAAAATTTCGTAAAAAATACCGCAAAAAATTCATCATTTTTGCATTTGAAAGGTTAATATTTCAAATGGCTTGGGTCCAATTTCTAGCTGCATCAATTAACTTTTAAGAATGTCAAAGTTCACTACAACAAAATGTAAGATACTTAAGTTATGTGAAGAAAAGAAGCGCTTTCTCTGAAAAAGGTTTCAAAAAATACCGGACTTCAAAAATTCTCAAAAAAAAAGTTCTGCCTTTGAAAAAAAACCATAATTCTTAAAAAAAAATGTAATCTATCAGAAAAAGTCGGTTTGGTTCCTTGAGGAAAAAAAAATTCGATTTAGTTCGAGTAGTGTTATCCGACAATTTTTTAATTCACTGGATTTTTCAGGGATGCCACCGCACATATTAAATTTAAAAGTCGCTATTAAAATTATAATTTTACTAAATATCAATCAGCAAAAACTTTTTAAGTGAAAGCAACGATTTTGACGCGACCGTGTAAAGGTGAAGATAAACGCCATTTTAATTCAAACGATTGCAAGTCCCGATTCGATTAACTTTTGAAATCACAATTAACAAGGTTCATGTGTTTTTGGTTATACAATTCATATGGACAACTTTGTTACGTGTTTCCGTGTCGGTAATCTAGATAGTCTTAATATCAACGTAGGAAAAGGAAAAACAAAAAATATTTACATTTACATTCAAGAAATTATCCACGAAACGGGAATGTGCCACAGCGAAACGTGGCAGGGTACAGCTAGTTATATATAATAGAGAGATATTCGAAACAAATGCATTTCAGGTTTTTTTTTTTTACAGATATACAATGACTAAATCACATAACATACTCTAGACAGATCAACCTGCAAGGATATCGTACTCATCGGGCCATGACGCTTTCATTTTTCTTCTTTTTAATTAAATTTAGTTAAGAAACAGCAAGAACTTCATCCGAGAAAATTTGTATGCACTTCTACAAATTTTAAATGAACACGTTTTAATCACGATATTCTACTTTGCTTTATTATATAGTACAGGGGTGCCAAGGCACATTGCTCCGCGACCTTTTTTGTTTTTGTAATTGCTCCCAGCATAGGAAACTAATTCTTGTATCCATACACAGCTTGTGCTGTGTACCAGCATACCGAAAGCCCAACACATGCAAACAACTTTATGCGATGCGTCCAGCATAAACCGGTTTTGTCTATTCTCTGATTGGCGTGAACCCGACTTTTGTTATGATTTTGTTGTTGACTTTTTTATTTAAAATTACATTTTCACAATTTTCCCATCCCATTTTGGAATGTCATTATCGTAATGTGAGTTAATTAAGGAAATTTATCTTGTGCCTACTTTACATATTTAAATAATTAATTAAAAGCGATACTTACAGCCGGTACTCAGTTAAAATGTTCCGAATAAGTTGAAAGCATCAACATTACTAAATATATTACTAAACGGTTGAAGATTTTGTGGTGGAGATAAACATATACACAAATTGTCCTCATTAAGCAACAAAAGACTAATTTATTTTAATAAAGTCAGTTTAACGGTATATTCCGATACTAGTATATTTTATTGTACGTAGGCTGCCACTTAAGTTTCTGGCGTAACTATGAAAAACACAAATTAGGCGTCTGAAAATGGTTTTATGATTTTAGACAACATTCTCGAGGAATAGCAAGCCTTTTTTGAAATATTTGAACCTATTTTTACAACACTTTTGGCACTCAGAAAAAGTATCTATAAAATAGTCCTAATCAGCGTTTTTTTCCTTTAAAACATCCATACCGTCGATTATTGATTTTGTTTCGTTTTAATATTTATATATTCATAACTCGTCGCTTTATAGATGTTAAACATAATTTTTTAAAGCACAACGGTCGTATTTTTGGAAAAGTGACACCTATTTTTCCACGAGGTGATCATGGAAAATCTTATTAAAGGTCGTCATACTAATGCGCAAGGATACCTCAATCTCACAGTATGTGATCTTGCTCAGTAATTTCGCACACGGCATCGATTTTTTGTGGCACACAAATTCATTTTAAACTACCTTACCGAAATTCGTCCTGCAACGAAGGACGTACAGGATTGAGTTCGCGATACCAGTTTTAAACATTGGCAATGCATGGTGATTCATCAATAAAAGTTGAACTAAGGTGATATAAGCATTCATGGCTTAAAAATCCACCTAAAATATGGTAGAAAATCATGACAAAGACATTTTCATGTCTAAATTTCAATTTTCGCCTGAGATTAATTTTTTTTTATTGTTATTCGATATCCAACGTGGTTTTATATGAAAAAGTTCTAGGTATGTTTAATTGATAAAACTCGAGTCTTTTTTATGGTCATAGTACGACGAGAAGTGACCTAGGCCAGAAACATAAATAGCACCCCTCGTAATAGTATCATGATGAAAAATGTATTTATTTTTGTGAAAACCCAAGCTATTTTATATTATTATATTTTTATTCCGATTTTTTAAACTGAAATCTCTAGTTGCATATCTATCATACAGGTTTCGGTTTTCACTTAATTTTGCGTCTTAAGCCTAGTGCTCAGGCGCGGTAAGTCTTCCGTCCACCGAAAGGTCTATACATTCCGCTCTGTGCCCAGTGTGAACAAAGTGATCAAGCTGCATGATCTTACACTGTGTTGTGTTTGTTTACAAACAGAAATCTGTTAAAATTTCAATTGTATAAAACCAAGCAAAAATTTTTGTGGCCGCTGTGGACCTGGGGTCGACAATGTACTTCGCAATATTGGATAAATCGTAACCTGCGGGAAGGATGTGCAATCAACCTTCCTTTTGTTTTTATTTCCTTTTATATCGGGTATTTCTTTAACGGATATAAGAATGATAAATAATAATATGCACTTTGTATTGCTTGCCCCAGAGATCGTCTTCTGCTTGGTCACAGAGCTCTAGGAATCATCGTTTCTTGTTCTTTTTTATCTCCTTTTTCATATTCTTCCGCTTTTGAGTGTATGCCTCTCTGAGGACTTGGATGTTTTCTGCTCCGCGGGATCTATTGTATGCTCTATGCATTTACGGCGGGCCTCCTCTCTATGGTGGTTCCACCAATAAATCGACTTATGAATCTTGAGTGCTTTGCTGCGCTCTATGCTGGCTTCGCATTCCCCTTTAAGCTGGCCACCTCATCTTCTTCACCTTCCATATCTGCTAGTCCTGCTATGGCAGACCGAAAAGCGGGTATGTCCAGGGTTGATTCATTGGCAGTCCTTGTGGCAGCTTTGCGGGTCTGCATGGTGAAAAGGATGGCACTGTGCTCGCTCGAGGTATACTTCTCGCTGATCTGCCATGTCATGGTCGCTGCCAGGCTTAAGCTTATGTAGTTGAGGTCAATAATCGATGTGGCACCTGCTCTGCTAAACATAGGCGTGGAGCCGGAACGGAGACGGAGACCTAAAATCAGTGAAAGGAGACACAACATTGAGCGAGGACTGGACTATGTACAGTGAGGCGAAAGCCTCCACCAAGCCTCGGGCTCTGGCGATCGTTGTGGTGAACTCTAAATCAGTAGCCCAGGCGTTGAAATCGCCCGCTATAAGCGATGGCAAGTGTGCCCTGATATAGCTAGACAGGTTCTCTACTGCGGCGCTGAACTCCTCAAGTCGCCAGCTTGGTGGCAAGTAGCAGCTTGTAGGAGGTCGTGGGCCATCCTGTAGTGGTTTAGGCTTAGTTGGAAAAGTCTTAGCATTTTGATAATTTTACTGCTCGCGGTACTCCGGGCACTTAAAGCTTCCAAACGCATGGTCTGTGGGATTTTTTTTTTTTTGTGTGCAGAGTACTGCAGTTTCTGGCCTCGTGGACTTTTCTTCCACGTCTAAAGCATGCTCCTCGGATATCTTTTCTTTCGGTGCAGTTTAACGAGATATGCCCGAATTTCAGACACTTAAAACAGCGGTTTGGAGTTATTATTGTCTTTATGCGACATATTACCCATCCGATCCTTATTTTTGCCTTCGCCACAAGTATGTTGGCAGTGCTTGTCGGCCGTCATAGTGTGGCTTTCTGCATTCCGTTTCTGGCAGTTCTTAGGGACTTTACCGCGTCTTCGGGGATGGTTGTTGCATCTAGTACAATCTGGACTGCTTCCAGTACCTCCGCCTTGGACGTGACCTCGTCTAGGTCCATGATGTCGAGCCTTGCTTGCTCGGTCAGGGCTCGTAAGACTGCATTGGCCCCTAGAGCCTTTCTCACGGCCGTTTTCACCTCTTCTGCGCTATGGTTTGGCGCTTTGTTAAGGCGTGGCAGCAGATCACCCTATAGAGTCTTTCTTATGCTCTCCACATCGCCACTGACCTCGCTCAGTGTTGCGTCTCCCTTCACTGATTTTAGAAATTCTGCGTAAGTAATGCCACAGTTCCTGTGGAGAGCTGTTAGATCCTCTGGGTTTCCGTTTGGTGTCTCACCGTGGCCTGAGCTTGTGGTGTGGTGGGTTGGAGAATAGTCGGACCCGCGACCTTCAGACATGATTTCACATGTCTAGACTTTTTAGCTTGGCTTTGCCTATAAGGAGTATCCCTTTCTACACACCAGTATAAAAAATTGTCTTTTTGTCTTATTATTCTTTATTTTTAGTTTTAGTTGTAAATATTTAAATAATGCAGACAAATTTAATCTATTTAAGGAATCCAAGTGTTCAAGAGCGAGTTTGTACTAAGGAGCTCACTCAGAGAGGATCAAAGGAGCGAGAGAAAGGGAGCGCACGTCGAGCGTGTTCCTCTGCAGTAATGATTCTGAGGGGGACAAATATAGAGACGCGCAATAATTCTCTCAGATCTCTGGTTGCAATGCCGAGAAAGTAGTTGCGTTTGAGAGTTTAATAAAAGACAATATACGAATAAGACACATAACGCCATACGACATTTCTTCACACGAATTTTGCAGGCTTGCTTTAGAGCTGGCTCCTGGCTCTTTTTAGAGAGAGAGAGCGCTCTAGAGCCAGCCGCTGCATACCTCTGCATATGAATACAGCATTTGAAGGCACACGAAGTTGATCCTCTCCCGATGCTACAGCCGAGTCGAGTCGTCGCGACGACTGTATGTGTGCACATTAGGCTGGGCCAAAATTTACCCAAAAAATTAATTTTTTGTTTTTTCAAGGAGACACCTCCCAATTCTATTCGTTGTTATTCAATAAAATTATACAATTTTTTTCAAATTTTTAGTTTAATGTTTGGAGGCTGCTACCACGAAAAGAAAATAAAAATGTTTGGGTAAATATGCATTAAAAAAATTTAATTCGTCGGTTTTTTCAAATAATATTGAAACTTAGAAACTAGTTAATATTGAAAATAAGGTATTTTATTTTTTTTTTAGTTACTGTTAAAAAGTTAACGATTAGTGAAAATCAAGAAGTTTATCTGAGGTTGATATATTTAGTTAACTAGTTCGCAAAACTTGTGCAGGTTTCTTACTGCCAATAACTGATTAATGACGATATGAATGGTATTAATATATATGCAATAGATTTCACCAATTATCCAACTCATACAGCAAATTTTTTTAAAGTAAAATTTAAAGTATTTTTAACTAAAAAAGTGTATTTTCTTTTCGTGGTAGCAACCCCAAAACATTAAAATAAAATTTAAAAAAAAATTCTATAATTTTATTGAATAACAAAGAACAAAACTGGGGGTGTCCCCTTGAAAAAACAGAAAAAAAATTGATTGGTAAAATTTTGGCGCAGCCTAATGCATACCTTTTTTACAGCGCTCCCGAAATATACCCTTCATTTTATAAGTGTAAGTTAATTTTGCAAGACGCTTACCAGCCCAATATTAAAAAACTCTTATTTGTATATATCCCTTCAATGATAATTTCTTTTAAGATGGTACATATATTCGATAATAATGATGGGATATCTATCTATATATATAAAAATGAATCCCTATTTCCCTTGGTCCCGGCATCACGCGTGAGCGGCTGGACCGATTTCACTTATTCTTTTTTTGTTGTGTTGGTTATTGTCAGGAGAAGGTTTTAGGGTCTAGAATCCCCGATATATTGGCTGCGGAAAAAATTGTGAACAAATGGTTATAGCTTTGACAGAGGGATCTATCAGCAGAAAAGCTAGCTTTGTATACGAAACACTTCGATCAAATGACGCGTTGCAATAGTTTTCTTTAATTTACAAAGGAATTTTCGTTTTTAAAAATGCCAGCAATTAGACGTACAGGCTTCGCATATTCACAATTCTGCAAGTCACAGATATAGAAGAGCACCTCAAACCGACGAGCAACGCGAAGCGAGGAATGAAGTTGAACGGAATCGATGGAATCGAAATCATCAACAATATAGAAATGTTGCTTTAGACCCCTATCGAGCTGCATTCAATTATAACGCGGTAATAGATTACAGTTCACAGAAAATCGTTGCTATCGGACAAATGAACGTTGTGTTCTAATACTGCAAGGCATTTAAGTCAAAAAATGAAGCT